GTGTGTGTGTGTGTGTGTGTGTGTGTGTGTGTGTGTGTGTGTGTGTGTGTGTGTAAAATGCAATATTCTACCCTCCTGTTATTGTGAGGAAACCTTAAAAATCCTAGTCAACCAGTTTTTGTCTTCTCTCTTTCAGGTAACTGTGTGGATAACTCTTCCTGTCCTTGATCCCGTGTACTGTCAAAACAGGCGACACATCCCAACATGAGGACGTACTACTTTTGCACAGACACAGCCAAAGAGATGGAATCTTGGATGAAAGTGATGACAGATGCTGCACTCGTGCAGTCAGAGCCAGTCAAAAGGTTTGTAAGAGCTTTGACAATAAAGTCATGTTTGCTGAGTGGGTGTGTCATTTTTGAATTGCGAGCGCATGGGGGGGGTTTGAAAAAGCCATTTGAGGACAGTTCTTCAAACTAGTACTAACAGCTGTGCATCACGTGGTTCATTTCTAGACTCTGATTTCTGTTTGTACTGGAAGAGAGTACTTTTAAATTCCCTGTTAAGTTCTTCGGCAACACTTCAACACCCACTTTTGACATCTCTGGTCTCTGGGTTTGTTGAAGAAGCTACGATGTTCTTTCATGTTATGTAACTGTTTCAAGCGCTAAAGTTTATTATGGAGTAACATACATAAGACTGTGGGTGCACTGTGAAGGCATGATGCAGGTGGTTTAAGGGATGATGTGCACAGCTGCGCTGGCTGATCAGGATCACTGACTCATCAGAACAGGGTTTTTTTTTTTCCTTCTTCTTTTTTAAACTATGTTAAATATCTGCCATTTGGCAGGCTGCCTGTCTAATGCCCTGCTTTTACATGGGCGAGCAGAAACGTAATGGTAACGAGCAGTGTAATTACACAGAGCAGTAGTGCCTGAAATCCTCTGAAAGTCTCTGCTAAATGGGACCGTGTGATGCTACTATAAGATTATCTTATATAACTACACATTGTTCAAAACAAAAAGGTTCTGTAATTTCATCTTTTTTTTAAATTTACTTCATCGTTTGTTTTGCAGTTGTGTAACTTGAATGCTCGCAGGGCTAAATGTGTGCTCTGCTTGGTTGGTGGAGGCACAGAAAGATGGAGAAGTCATTAAGTGACTAGTGCTGCTATTTGAAAGTATACAAGTGGAAACTCTGAAGGAATGCCTTTTCTGCAGCTCTCTTATTGCTAACCCAGTGAGCCATGCTGCTGAGAGGAATTTGCCAAACTTTGAAGTTGTGACCTTATGTCTGTCTAAGGTCAAGGCATAGTGGCATCTATTACCTCTAGATAACTCCCTAGGGAGCACAGAGTGGTATGCAGGTCTTCTAGACAGGAGGCAAAAGAGAGAAGCAAATGGATTACTGGGATCTGAGCATCACTTTTCTGAAGTGTCTCAGCTGAGGTATTGTTTTACTGGAGATATCTGATTTCCTTTTACACGCCTCCCCTTCTCTGGCAGCTGGAAGAGGCATTGTGCACTTTGCTTTAGTTTGAACTGAATTCACAACATTAGTTGTGTAGTATATTGTAGTATAAACCTAAAAATGTGAATCAAACATCGTTTACAGCAATTCCTACCAAATAATTAGTTGGACATGAATCATCTCACCCAGATTTACGTAAGGGTTAATCACATTAAAGACATTTTAGCCTATTGTCTGAGGTTGTAACAGTTTTTACATGAACAGCAAAAGGAAGGAACGATGCCTGAATACTTAGGTGCAAACTTCCACATGTGCTTGTATGACATCATCCAAGCAAGACGAACAGCAATGCTTCTCAGCTCAAACGTGGCTAAATTGGAAAAAATACAAACACAACAGAAAACCAAGCCAAATACTGTGTGGAATACAATACAAACGTGGAAACCATTTATGGATCCATTCAGAAAACTAAAAGGGCACTTTTCAGCATCAGCAGCTACTTTAGGCCTCATTGGTTTCATATTCATATCAACAAGCATCAAGTTAACAGTTCATGTAGTAATACAGTCTGTAGGATTAAGTTAACAGTGCTTTCAGAGGGGTTGTAAACAGATTACAAAGGCGGGAAGATAAAACAACACGCCACTCTCAGATTTCACTTGAAGACAAGCGTATCTTAAGTCTGGATAATCCAAAATGTCTATTGAAAGAGTTCCAGTGTTTTGTGATTTTTCAAGCCTGAACCTTCTTGTCTCTTTTAGGTTGGACAAACTAAAAGTGGAGCAGTGTGGACCTCAAGAGATCAACCATGTGGCCAACCATAGAACAGAAACCGAAATCCAGAAGAATGAGCGCAACCGTGAGGTTGACCGTGAGCACGCAGCCGTCTCCCCCACCACAGAAGAAGAGGAGAGAAAGCAGCGAGATGCAGAGCGCTACGGCTTCCAGAAGGATGGGGCCGACCGTGAACGTCCACTCACCAAAATAAACAGTATCAAACTGCAGCCAGCGCAGGCGGCAGCCATCAAGGCTAATATGACCTCGCCGCAGCCTCAGACCGAGGTTGACGGATCACAACACAGCCCCCAAGTTAATGGATCTGGAGAACAGCGTCCAGCTAATGGGACTGGAGTCCCTCCTCTGCAAAGTTCCCCACATGAGCCGGATCGCAGCCTGAGTCGGACCAGCTCGATGCAGCAGCTGGAGCAGTGGGTTCGCACACAGAGAGGACGTGGCCAGGACGACGATACCAGAAGGTTGGTTCAGTGCTATGCCCAAAAAAACCCGTCTTGACATGATACTGTATAAGCTTTAAATGTAATTGTTTGATTATAACATGCGTACACTGCAAGAAGAGAAATGATGCTATTCAGATGGCGCTGTCGTCTGTACAGTAGCACCAGTTATCTTCAGATTACTCCACAAGAGTCAAATCTTAGACTGTTTCCACAACATGAAGTCAGATTTGGCTTTATTGGGTGGAAAGTATGAGGCTGGTCTCCTCTTAGTTCTAAGTACTTAAAGTATATTGATGAGGTTTTGATGAGAGGATTTAATAAGCTGGTTCTTGATTCCCATCCCTGGTGTTCACAATTTTGTTAAAAATACATGTTTTAGTCAAGAGATACGTTTGTCATCAGGCTTGTGTTCATATTTGACACAGCTTTGCCTCATTCTGTGGTTATTATTTGTTTTTTTTAACAAATAGACATACACACTCGCTTTAGAGTATACCATGGGCAAAACTAATAAGGCCTCAGTAAATATTTTTGTGTTGGCTCTCTGAGGTAAACATTTAATTCTCTCTCCATTAATCTCTTTCAGCTCCTTTTGTCATGACATGCATGTTCTCTAGACGGATGTGTAGCAGTCACAAGCCTTTATTATAACACTGGTATACTGGGATTTAAAGACCAGTGAGTGTTTTAGCCCGGATCTGTCAGGTCTTCTTATTATTAAGCTCTCCGTACTGACTTTGAACTCACTGAGTAAGTGGAACTTCTTAAAGCCTTGCTGTCAATAGTAAGGTCTAATTTGTTTCTGAGTAGGGAATTGCTTTGCGAGATTCTCTAAAGACACACATGTAAACAGATAAAATAAGAATCATCCTTGTTTGATACTTAATTAGAATGATACTCAGCGTGAAGTGCTTTTCAACTACAAAGTTTAAACCAAACCAACAAATGAAAAGATTCATAACATGGCGTTGCTTTGATAACTGATGTTTTTGACTGGTTATAATCAAAATAAAAGAAATCCAATGAGATTTTTTTTCCAACTATAAACAACTTGTTGCGTCCTTTGAACCTGACAGAGCCTAAAACCACGTTTATCTGGTGTTGTGTATGGAATATATGAAGAATAATCAAATTGTTACACCAACACAGATCATTTTAGGTCTGTGTTGGTGTAACACCATGCAGGTCATCTACTATATCATACATGATTAATTATCTGTTTTTTCTTTTACCCCAGCATCACATCGTACCAGACGCTGCCTAGAAATTTGCCAAGCCATCGGGTACCCTACATGCCTCATTATGGAGATGGATATTGCAGTATGCCCAGGAATAGCATGGCACAGCGGGACAGCATCTGCAGCATGTCCCCATCGGTATATGACCAGGCCATGGGTCCTTCAATGACTGAGAAACGCCGCTCCATGCGCGATGACACCATGTGGCAGTTGTACGAGTGGCAGCAAAGGCAGGCCTACAGCAGGCAGCCAGGGCTGTACAGCAATATGGCCAGTCCCAAAACCATGATCAACTTGTCAGAGCATGCTGCACCGAGCCACTCCATCCCCCCCTCGCCCTCCCATGGCTCCCTGTCGATGTACGGCGGCTACTCTCCAATGAGATCTTACAACATGGGCAACACTCGCTCTGAAATTTCCTCTCCCATCTTCCGAAGAGAGATGACTGTTGAGAGACGGCAGAGGCCACCAGTCAACAAGGTCAGCTAAGAGATGCATAAACGGGAAATGTTCAGTTCACCCTCATAATAACAAAACCGCCTACTATGCAATAGTCTTCAGTCACCCCTTATTTCTTTATATTTTGCTTCCAAGTATCCAGAAAAGTTCTCCAGGCTTTCTGAAGGTCTATCACATTTTTTCTTTGGACACTGGCTGCTTTTTCAATCATTTTCAGTCCAGTCCTTATACGTGACCATTTTCAAAGGAGTGGGGTTTTTTTTGTTCATCAAGCCATTTAACACTGAAAAATGCGCCAGAACCAGTGACCAATGTTGTGTCTACAGATAGCAGACAACTTAGCAAAAAGTCTATTTTAAAGGTATCTTTAACAGCTTGTTGCAAAAAATAATAAAAAAATAAAAGAAATGGCAGGCCTAAAAGTAAGATCTACAGCAAAGGAACATAATCTGAAGCCTCATCAGAAATGGTCTCAATGGAAGAGTGGCTGTAAGAAGCCATTCTTAACAAAGAGCAATGAGGAGAAAAGTTTCAGGTATTTTAAATGACAATAGAGCTGGACTGAAAGTCAGTAGCAGCAGGTCTTATGGAGTGATGATCATTAGTATGGAGGAGATCAGGGGAGATGTAAAACATTATGAATGCAGAAAAGTACTGTCAGGTTTTGATCCACTGTGGACAACAGCCAAAGAAGAGCTTTGAATGTCCTTCAAGAAGCCTGGAGAACTCTTCCTGAAGACAACATACAGAAATTAAAGAAAGCTTGACTAAGAGAGTTCAGGCTGTGCTGAAGAATAAATGAGGTCATACCAAATACTGATCTTCAAACTCATCAGAATTGTGAAAACCCTGTTTGTGCCTACTTTAGTTCCCAAAGTTCAAAAGTGAGGTCATGTGTTTCATTTGTTTTTAAGCAGCACAAACAAAATTACATTCAGCTTTGAGCATATTTATAGTGACAGAAATATGAGAGGGATATATACAAAAATATGCATCAAGGGTAGCAAATGTTTCTTTGTACTTGGATGAACCCCGTGGCTATGGCTGACTATTATATCAAAGATATTTAATGTTGCACATGACAGGCCTTTTTTCATATTAAATCTGTGTTCTGCAGTATGCTTACCTGCCTGATAGGAGGTCTATGCCAGCAGGGATCCCAATCCAGACCATCACTGCCCAGTCTTTACAAGGCAAAACAGTAAGTCTTGGTCTATGTCAGTCTTCTGGCTACCTAGATTTATATCACTGTGCTGTTCAGCTGAGATACTTCATGCTTGGTTTCTGTACACCTATACAGTCTGGGTTTAACTGGATGTCTTTCAAGGACAATGCTGTTTTCTGATGATGCCACCTACTCTACCCTTCTCCCTCTTTCTGTCCTTCATATCCCTCTAAGACATTGTGACAGAACTCTTTCGAGACAGGTTTAGGCAGATCTGTGTTCCAAGTGGTAGGATTTAGGGTGTGTTCACTTCAGGAGCTCCTTAGACTCTCTTCAGTTCAGTGGAGACTTAAAAACCCTGTCACTCAAACTCTCTAAGCCAGGATCAAGAATTTATGTCAGAGCTGCACACAGTTCTCTGTACTCATTGAGCTTGTAAAGTGTGAAGTCAATTCTGTAATGAGTGCCAACTGTTCTGCTGTTTTGAGTGGACATAAAAGATTGTGCATGCTGCTAGCTAACATGGTACTAAATTGCATGAAACGCAAGACTAGAATGCAGCAACTGTTCACCTACTGGGATCCTGGTACCTCTAAATCTCCTATCCTGGTGTGCTCTCTCTCCTTTCTTCTCACCCCCAATCCCTGCCTCACCCCTGCGGTGTGTCCCTGTTTCACTGTGGCGATGCATCCCCCCCCGCCTCCTCCTCTTCCTCCCTCCTCCTTGCAGCCTGAGGAACTGACTTTGCTGCTGATAAAGCTGCGTCGGCAGCAGGCAGAGCTAAACAGTATCCGGGAGCACACTGTAGCACAGCTTATGCAACTAAACATGGATGGCGACAACCCAAAGGTCAGGCCCCCAGGGACATCTCTGCAGGCGTGTATGTTAGCGTGTGGTGTGTATGCCATCTTTATCCACTTCCATTATCCATCTCGATCCGGAGGATTTGTTTGGTCTTCACACATGGCTGATTTAAGAAGGAATTTTCTTCTAACATGACTATGCGTAATGGCTTCATGTTTTTTGTGGACCAGCTACCTTCTCATCAAAATGTGTGGAAATAAAACACTCTTCTTCCAGTTTCAAAATAATTTTGCAACCAGCATCTGACTTAAATCAGTGCATCAGATAATTAGATTTGGGCCATTTTAGCAGGGCAAGCAGCTGATTGAGTCATTTATCCCCCTAAAGAATATAGACAGATGTTATCCGCAGATGAAACTTAAAGCCATTGGCGAGCTTAAAGAGTGACCAACTAATGAGGCTAAGGCCACTGGCATATGTAAAAGTTAATTCAGGATTTTGGGACTTTAAGTCTCCAGACTTAATGCCAGACTGCAGATTTTACCATTAATGATGTAGGTCAACCAGGACTGTTGAAGATTTTTCCATTTTACGGTGTTTTTGTTGTTGTTTTTCTTAATCTACTACTGTGCAGTTAATGCGAGTTTTCCTTGTAGCTATACAAGTTGCCCTGCTTCATTCGTTTATGTTTGCGTCAGCGGACAAACACCACGTTGTGTGGTACTTTGACTTGCCATTGTCTTTGTTTTTTTGCATGCACTCGGTCAAGACTAGTCCTGCAGTGTACTCATTCTGTTACCTTTGAAATTACACCTGGTACCTGACCTGTTTTCTTCACCTTGATTGGTCCTGCTTTCCTTTCTCTCGGGTTATCTTTGGGTACATGACATGCTTGTGTGATTGTGGACGTAAGAGAGAGTGTGACAGAGAGAGCATCAGTGAAAGAATGTGACTTGCCCTTTCTTTTGTCTCACTGTCCTTTTGCCTTTTCTTTGCTCTCTTTTTGCTGCTGATGATAGAACGACATTCTTTCTCACCACCTCCAAAGGAACCTCATGTATTTGGACAATCAGGTGGGGTAATGCATGAATGCATGCCCTGTCTTCTTCTGTCATGACCTCATTTAATGCCTCTGCTTTTATTGTATTAATCCCTGCTCTGCGGCTGTTTTAGTGATTTGCAATCCCGATGCCAGGCTAACTTGTTATCTTTTATTGTGATTTTAAATGGCTAAAAGTTCAGATCGCAGCATTTTTAGCTCACGCTAGTTCATTTACTCACACATTATCTAAATAACTGATCATGACTGTGGACAGTCGTTATTTCTGCCATATAAAGAACACGTAGAGATGAAGGTATCATATTTAACGTCTAAGTGTTTGCAAAGGAATATTAAAGCTTCATCTGCTTTTTTTTAACGATCTTAAGTGCTTTGTGAGTTTTAATTGCTTTGTATATAGCACACAAAGGTCCAGTAAAACCTTTCTAATAATTATAGCAAAAGGAAGCCTTAGATTTGTGTAACCGCTGAGAAATAAGTAATTTTAATTTCCTTGACTTGGACTGATGAACCTTAGCATTTGTGATTTCTTGCACCTCTTGTAAACGCAGTTCTTTTTACATTCCTACACATCAGCGTTTAATGGGAACTTTTCACTGCTAATAAAAATGAACCTTAGAGCTTTGTACTTCCGTGTCTTCCTGCTCCTGCTCCTGAGCGTCTTCTCTCTGTTGCTGTTAACCATCCCTGTCGTCTCTGGATGCACGTTTCTGTGTGAGTCTACCTCATCCGAGAGCGAGAAAGCGAGAGCGAGTGAGGTGTAATCACACTGTGGGTGTTGTCTCAGAAATGAAAAGCTGCTGTAAACTTTCTGACACTTGCTATATCGCTCCTCTCCACACTGGACTAGATGAAGGAAAATGAGCCTTTAATCGTCATGACTCACACTTTGATTGAGAACTCTGCCCCAAGGCCTCAACTTTACCAGCAAGTAAGGCCAGCCTAAGGCTTTGCTCCACCTCATCCTCACCAGTCGCTGTTGTTCTTTTTGGTCTGTTTTGCAATGCTCCTCCTTCGATGTCCAAGTCCTCACGGCATCTTGAGACTGGTCTCCCTGTATCGTTTGTATTGCTAGCACCTCTTCATCCATTGCTTATGACTGTTCCCTCTTATTATTGAGAAGTCATGCTGATGCAGGCATGACTTTTAAGACTTGGAGAATGTATGAATGCTCCACTGTTGGGTTAAATCTCTTCCTCACTGTGGTGTTTGAATTTATTTGTTTATTTATTTTTCAATAATCCTGCGCAGAATGTGTTCCCTCTCATTACCCGAGCCACCTGAACTTAACAAGATGACTCTAATTAATTTGACTTAATTACGTGTTGCTAGTCTTATTGCTTGTCAGTCTAGTTTATTACCAAATAATTCATGTTTTTGTGGAAAACGGCCCCAATTAAGGGCCAGCAGAAGAGCAATCATTAGAGTGAAATGGTTATAGTTAAAGAGAAAAGTATGCACGCGATCTCAGCATCCCATTTAGAATTTATGTTCAGCCTGCCTTTTCTTGATTTTTTTTCTTTTTGTTTCCGCCTGTGCAAGTTAGCCAGACATTTTTCAGACGTAGGGATTAGCTTAATAACCTTAAGCACCACAGCTTCAATCACTGAATCGACTCTATATCTAAAATCTGAGGTGGCGATACTGACGAAGATGAATCCTCATATTTTTTTAATTTAGATTAGCACTTATTTATCTGTCTTCATTACTTCCCCTTCACCCCCACTGGTCATTCTGCTGATGGAAAGGATAAAGGGGCCGGCTTGTGTGTGCCGATGGCTATGACATCACATTGCCACTTTTGAGACGCCCCTCGAGGTGTAAAAGTGTTGCTGAGACTCACCCCGTCACTCATTCACTAGCATACCTCAACAGCTGCATTCCCACCTGTTCAGCTGACAAAAATCTGTCTTCCTCCTCCTCCTCCTCCCTACATCTCTTGTATATTAGTCCACGCCACACAAAACCCACAGTGAAGCTCTTCAAGCTGTGGGAGAGTCTGCATGTTCTGTGTGGAATGCCATGTGGTTCTTAAGCCCCACCTGCTTTTAGCTTTACTATGTTCAGCTGCAAAAAAAAAAAAAAGGTGTTTGTGAGAGAGTGCAGGCGTGGATGTTGATTCAGAAAGTATTTGGACAGCAAGTCACTTTTTTTGTTGCTGTTTTGCTATTTTTGGGCACATTTGATTTGAAATTCAATCATATCTTTGAGGTTAAAGTGCTAGGTGGTGAATCTAAACCTTTTCAGTTATATCAACCGAGGATTTTTTTTTATTTTTTTATAAGGGCTTGACAGGTATTTTATCTGATATGTGATATATTTGTTTGCTGAAAACCAGACTGAAAGCTTAAAACCAGCAATAAGGAAATGGCTCCAGTCGAGTTCTGGCAGAGTGTCACAAATGAATATACAGAGGATGTGCTGTGTCTGTAGGTTGTACACTTTCCAGGAAGGGAATTAAATCTTACACTTGGCACTTTGAGCCTATAGTCATTGAGTCATTTCATATCAAATGTGACTAAAAACACAAAATAACACAGAAATATGTCACTGTCCTGATGTCTGTGGTGTGTACTTATAATATTATAGGTTTAGCAGAGTGGGTGAATGACTATGTGATCTGTTGATTTTTCTGGAAACATGGGATCCAATGCAGCTGCAATGATTTTCTTTGTTTGAGAAGTAGCTGAATGATATCAAGTGGAAACATGGATGACTTTTGGAGTTTTCTGACTAAACACTGACGTTGTAAAATTAATGTAGAAACCATAACCGTACACTTGGGCACTGAACAAAAGTAACAGGGCGCTTTGGCATGCACACGTACACACACAGTCTCTCATTAGTTAACCCCAGATTATGCTGTAGAATACATGATTGGTGGACAAAGCTTATGCGCTAACTTCAGAGTGAAGTAAGCCGGATTGTTTTGTATGTTTTTCCATAAAACCATTGTGCCGATGGAGACAATGACTGTGCATGATGAAACACGAGGCGCAAGAATCAACAGCAGAGACTCTGTTTAGACTGGCCGAGGTCCCACTGCTGGTTTGGTAATGCAAATCGTCTGATTTAGTGAAATATGAGCTCCTTCTGAAGGATAAATCCTGCGGCTCAGTGAGAGAGCTTGGTCTTGACACTGCATTAGATCTCCAGATTCTAATGTGTATGCACAGATTTAGTGCCCCTGTCTAATGCTGTCTCTCTCAACAGATGAGTCCAGAGAACTACAGGGAACAAGCCTATACATGCATGCCAGAAGAAGTGGACACTGATGTAAGTTCAGTGCTGCAGACTTGCATGACATAATGTTCCTTTTAGCTGTACACAGCAGGTCATGACTCGTTATTGGTTTCTCTTCAGACTAAACTTAGCATGCTGTGTGAGCAGGACAAAATGGTCAGGATACAGGAGGAAAAACTGCAGCAGCTGTACAGAGAGAAGGTGACTAATACTGCATTTGTCGTCATGTTCACGCAAAACATTGTCTAAACATGCTTACAAAGATTTGGTATCATGTGCAAAAAATGTAAATTTGAAGGAATGCACAGTTTGCAGTTCCTAAGAGTAAAGTTTCTAAGCATGAAACAGAGCAAGTTAGGAGACAAAGTCTGTAACTATAACTAACTATAGCCTGTAAGTATAACTACCATCATCAGATGGAAAGACTTGTCTGGTTTGCATTGCTTTGTCATATTCAGCAAATCTCACTGACTGTTTTATGTTACTAGTTGATGTGCAGTGATTGTAGGTATATAGAAAAAATATAAAATCATTTCTAGTCAATTTTGAGTCACAGCTGTGCCCTTTGAACTTTGGATAAGACAAATAAGTAGTTTGAAATGCTTTCTTTAGGCTCTGAGAGGGGCTGATGGGCATTTGTGATTATTTTGACATTTTAAAGATGGGATAACCTCCTGTTTAGTGACAAAACAGCTCAAAACAGTGATGTACAGGAAATATTTAAAAATAATCTACTATTCTGAAATAGTCTTACTGAAGTTTTAATGATGACTGTTGTGCTCTGTGTATTTGACATGATGCGTGTTGCTTCAGCACACTCTGGAGACAGCACTTCTGTCAGCTAGCCAGGAGATAGAGTTGGGCTCCGACAACCCGGCTGCCATGCAGAGTGTCGTGCAGCAGAGAGACTTGCTGCAGAGCGGCCTCCTCAGCACTTGCAGAGAGGTGTCCAGAGTTACTGCCGTAAGTAATACAGTGCATTCACACTCCAGACAATGAAGGCCTCTTGGGGTTTTGTTTTTCAGGAGTATTAATAATATGGTCATTTTTCTTTGTTTGTTGCATAATTGTTGTTTCTATCCTCCCCAGGAGGTGGAGCGGTTATGGAGGGAATATGACAGGATGGAAGGAGATGTGACTATGGCTAAGAACAACCTGCTGGAGCAGCTAGAAGCACTGGGAAGCCCTCAGGTAGGAACATTTTTGACAGTGAGTCTGCTCAACTTCTTCTCTCTTAAGGCCATTAAACTCTGAGCATTTTGGGGAAAAAACAGCACAAAATTTGGCATAGTTTGGAAATGATCTTGTAATGTGTAACATATATATACACACACTGACCTCAAGAATCACACTGTGGGGAAAAGAATGAAGCAAAAATCAGGCGATGATGAGCTGGTTCTGGTGTTTTTAAACAAGAAAAGGACGAAACTGAAATTCTGGATTCAGCCAAATCTCAAGAGAAGGCAGCAGCAGGGAGAGTTTCATGGTTTGATCCAGGAGTTGAAGCTGCATCGCGGCTGCTTTCGTACATATTTCAGGATGTCAGCAGGGCAGTTTGAACTCTTGTTGGCAGAGTCGGCACCACATCTGAAGAGACAGAGAAACTATTTCAGAGAGCCAATAGCAATGACTAGCTGTGTGTCTGAAGTTAAATGGTATCATTTTACTATTTCAGAAGCATCGTATCTTCAGTACCGGTGTGCGTTTTGAGCTACTTTGTTGCCAAATGCAGTGGTCAGATTGGTCAGATCGGTTTATTTGCAGGTAAAAAATCTGAAAAATCTATTTAAAAAAACCAAAGTCAACAACTTCGTCCTGTGAGATTATACAGTCAGTGTGAACAGCTGCGTTAAGCATCGATGAGTCTGGAAAATATTTTTAACACACAAATTTTTCGCTTCCATGTGAAAAGACCTGAACTCTAACTCGACATTAAGTGTGTAGAAATATGCTGATAATTTTGTAAACAATCCAGCACTGACACATTTGATGTTTAGTTTGCCATGGCTAAGCATTTCAGTAAGTACTATATACTCACTATACAACTCGCTTCCCACGCTGAACCCGTTAGGTTAGACCGAGTCACTCACGCAGGAAGAGTTCGGCTGTTGCTATGTGATCGAATGATGGGTGCAGATGGATGAAGTGCTGGGGACTTGATTCTTAATTTAATTACCGATTTGGCAAAAGAAGATGTCCCACAGTGCCCTAGGCTAGCAGTAGCAGCTGTGCCTTTCATCTTGACCCAAAGGTGTGTTTACAGAAGTGCTCTTGTTCTGGTTGAGTCACTGTAGTTTTGGTTCTCTGGTTTAGCGTCATGATTTTTTTTTTGCCTGATAGGGTTTTTTTTTAAGGAAGCGCGCTCTCAGTAGCTATCATGATATCATCATTCTTGTGAATTCCTTTTGGCTAAAGTAATGGTGTAGTGAAAATCTGATACTGCGGCTGACCTGCTTGGCATACTTGCAGATTCATACACTGCAGAGCTGCAGAGAAATCTGTAAACCTACTCAACCTTTTTGCAGACACGTTTTCTGGACTTTGGGAGAAAAATATGGAGAGAAGTAAATGGAGATCAAAGCAACACAGGGGGGTGATTGATGACCGTTGCAAGGATAGAGCAGGTCTTAATTAAGTTTGTCTTTTATCTTCTCTTTCATCAAGGAAGAGGTGCAGAGACAAAAAGAAATTGTTCTAGCAGTTGTTCCTGGCTTGTACTGAGTAATGATAATTTAGAATAGAGAAGTCAGAGGGCCAGCAGGGAGTCTGGACATCCTCTTCTTAAGTCCATCTCACAAAGACCAACCTGCCAACAGCGAGGGGGAGATAATTACCTGTCTTTTTTTCTTCCCCTTTTCCAATCCTAATCTCTGCTCTGATTATCGTGTTGTGAGGCTAGTATCTCTCGCAGACAGTTGGAGCCTGATCAGATCTGTGTCTCTGCTGACTGCACACCTTAGCAGATACAGGCATTACCCTTTTACTGTTATTTTACGATGCCATCATGCTAATTTTTTTCACTTCAGCTTTCTGTCTGCCTTCTGTGTGTTAGTTTTATTTGCTATAGACCTCCACCTTAGATCTCAGTCTGCAGGTGTTTTTTTTGTTGTTGTTGTTGTTGTCGTTTGTTGACGTGCGTCTGTTTTCTGTGCACACCCAGACAGAACCACCCAGCCAGCAGCATGTCCGCATCCAGAAGGAGCTGTGGAGGATTCAAGATGTGATGGAGGCCCTGAATAAACACAAAGCCCAGAGAAATGCTCTTGATGGGATGGGTTTCTATGGGCCCAAAGCCAACTTCAGTAAGCACAAAAATGAGGTGAGGCACCACTTGTAGAAAAAGAAAACGGAACACCTGGTCTGACAGGATGCTGAAACAATAAGGCATTTTAAATCATCATTTACTGTTCCTAGCTTTTCAAATGTGAGAAAGAGTTTTTCTTTTTTTTCTGCCTAAGGCTTCAGTCACACAGGCCTAGAAACTGATTAGCAACCATCTGGCAATTACCGGTTGTGAGGCAAAAAAAGTGTATTACCTGACCGGTCATGAGTGATTGGAGGCAATTGGTGTGAAATTAATTGCTAAAGTCCCAGTCAAACAGACCTGGAGACTAGCCAGTGACCTTACTGGCAGTCACCAGTGTGAAGTTGGTGTCAAAGAGGTATATAGTTTGGTTGTTAGTAGGTTGCCTGTAGTTTGTAAGGAAGATGCCGACTTGGCTGCAAAAACAAACTACATGCCAAGCAGTACTGAAACAAACCAGAAACGAAGACCATTTCCCTTTAAAGTAAAAGTTCCGCCATTTGAAATGCATGCATGTTGTGCAGCACTTTTTCAAGTTTCACCTCTGTTGAAAATATCTAGCGTTTGCGAACCAGTTGGCATCTTTCCTGCAAAATGCCACTACAATCCGTATGCTACTAAAGCAGTCGCAAGTTTTTTTTTGTGTAGTGTTCTCTTTGTAATCGTTTTCACGTGACCACAGTCGGCAATCGGCGGTTGTTTAGGAGTTGCTGACTAGTCTCTAGGCCTGTGTAAGGCTTTGGACAGGTGGTTGTCATTACAAGCAAATTAAAGATGTGAGCTTAACGGTAATTTTTTCACCTTTTATTGGAGTTAATTAGTGGGGAAAATTGATCATAAAAAAATAAACCCACATCACCAGCAGTTTTGAAGATGATAATCGACGTAAGCTGAGGGCTCTAAATGCCCACCCCACTCATGGATGGTGTGAGTAGTGGTGTCTGGAGGAATGTGTCACTCAAGCCATAACAGCATCTGGAGCGCTCTCTCTGGCTAATCAACTGTTTAGCCCATCCTGTGGCCCAGAGCTACTCTATACCAGATGGCTGTAGCCCTGAGCCGGTATGGTGGCGCCATGTGTCACCTTGCTTCCTGTGCTGTCATACCCAATATAATCCCCAGGAGGAGGACTCTGTACCCCCACGGCCACCCCTACCCCAGTCCTACGAGCCCAACCCCCCCACCGTGCCCCCTATGCCGTCTCATCCCGGCGTGCGCCCTTCATCACTCCACAAGCCAGAGGACAGGAAGGCCAATCACAGGAATAGCACGCACAGCGTAAGCCTGTTGACCTCTTGGTTGACCCTGCCCTCAGCTGTATCATCCCATGTCCATGATGATGAGTTCACTTTGATTTCCATAAATATTTCGTGTCTGTTGCATTTTTTTTCCATTTGTTCCCGTCATTGTACAGCATAATTTACTTTTCAGTTATTTGGTTGAAGTCCAGCTTGTGTTTTTATTTTTGTTTTGTTTTTTTAAATTTTGTTTTTGACTAAATTACCACATCCCCCTTTTCTGTCTCATCCTTTATGTTGAAATGTAATATTTTTTTGGGTCTGTTTGTTTCGCCATATCGAAGTTTGAATGTGTCTGCCTACCTTTTGTCTGAGTATTTCACACATTTAAATTTAAGGTGGCTCAGTCTGCAGGGTTTTTCCTGTTTTCCGAGCAGGGATTTTGGAGATGAATTAGTGCAGTCGCCTCATGTGCAGGACAGGCAAACCGTTTTTATTGCTTAAATCTATTTGTTTTCATGTTATTTCTGAGGCGTCGATAAACTATAAGTTTATTATGTATGAGTAAATGAAACTACAATTAACAAATACGATTAAAAGAAAATATTTCTATTACAGTGCTTGTTATTTTCCTCTGTAGGGGGCACGAAAACGTCTCAAAGCAGAAAAAACCCTGGTCAATGAAGAATTTTATTTTATTTTTTCATCTTAAGTCATTCTGTAAGAGATAATGACACGCTGAGTTATGCAGAGTTTGTTTACAAACTGACTACATTTCAGAGTTTTTCTCATTTGTGTTGACCTCTTTTTTTTTTTCTTTTTTTTTTTTTACCCCCCAATTTCTCGTCTCCAGGGTCCTGACTACAGACTGTACAAAAGTGAGCCAGAACTCACCACAGTGGCTGAAGTGGATGAGAATAATGGAGAAGACAGATCTGAATATCCATCTGATAGAGAACATGTTGGAAATAAAGGTACTTTGGAGAGATACTGGTGCAGTTTCGCAGTGAAGCCTAGTGTATAAAAATACAATAGAGTGGTCATTTTAGTCTGTATAAAACTGGAGCTTTTTATCATGGGACTAACAAAGTCTACACATTGTGATCGCTCCCTTTTAGAGTATTTGAGGGCTCTCTAGTGGAAACATTTACACGCTCAGAAGGTGAACAGCATATGGAGTGCACTATGCTGTAAATATGGAGTGATTTCTGACACAAACCTTGTCTCTAACACAATTTGAGTTGGCATTTGGATTATTTGGATCTAGGTCAGTATATCACAAAGTAACTCTCTTGGCAACCATAATTTTGCTGGTTACCATGGATACAGTGAGATTTGCACCTGCATGCATCTTTTTAAACTTGGCCAAAACATGTGAGCTATAATATTTGTTTTACTGTATTTAAACTTTCTGCCACCAAACATGTGCTGTGAATAGATGAGCTGAATTTACCACAAAAGGGAAATTGATCTACATTTATTGAAGAGCTTGCAGGTCTTTTTTTTTGTTGGATGGAAAGTGTTAATTAAAATACCACCTGTAATTGACCCTGTCTAATTTTTTACTATAATGTGATTTCAGTTTGACCTTTTATTGATCTCTTGTCTTCTTTTCTGTGGGTAGGTATGTCCTATCCAGTTGGTATCGTCCCACCAAGGACCAAATCTCCAGTGCCTGATTCCTCCTCCATAGCTTCATATGTTACATTAAGAAAGAGCAGGAAGCCTGACCCTAGAACGGTGAGACCTTGGGCTTTAATAATAACTAAAATGTTCTTAGCATTTGTAGATTTGGATCTATCGGACAATAGAAAAACAAACGAAATACAGTCACGATCAGGACTATAGTCAAAAAAAGACTGGTATATATATCTGCAGTTATTTAGATTTGGTAGTATGGCTTTCTGACCTTCCTGCGTTCCTATATACATACTTGGAGGAAGGCCCAGGCAAAGGGGAAACGAGCAGGAATTAAGTCAGATACAGCAGCGGTCCCCAACCCCCGGGTCACGGACCGGTACCAATCCGTGAGTCTTTTGGTACCGGGCCACGATAGTTGAGGCTTGTGTGTGAAATTTATGGGGGTTTTTTAGGGTTTTTATCGGTTTTTATCATTATTTTTTATGGTTTTTATCGTTAACTCAGTTGAAAACTCACATGTGCAGTAAAGGCCAGCTGTCACATGGTGAGGGTGTGACTCATGCTGCCATAAAGTAGATGCCAAACTGTATTTAAACAGTTTCCAGCCACGAATCCTATCAACTTAAACACACTAACCATATCATTAGTGCACCACACTGCAGGGTGTGTCCTGCTTTTGCTGCGCCTGTGTAACTTTGTTTGACCGTTAATGGACATGTAGTACAAATGAAAATAGATAAACGCACAATATTTCTCTAGGCTTATGTGCTTTAGCACTTGGTGCTAAGAGAGCATGCCTAAGGCGTAAGAGTTCAACTTTAGATCCTGGGAGAAATGACAAATGAGTTTCAGTGGACTCATCTCTGTGCTTGTCCTGTTAGACCTCAGTGCGGCATTCAGTACTGTTGACCATAATATTTTATTACAGAGATGTACAGTGCATGCCATAATTATTAAAGGTACTGCGTTGGAGTGGTTTGAATCATATCTATCTAATGAACAGCAATAACATACATTTTCATTGCTATGCAGGTGACACCCAGCTTCATCTGTCATTAAAGTTTCATGATGCACACAAATTGGTTAAACTGCAGGAACATCTTAAAGAAATAAAGACCTGGATGAGCTCTAATTTCCTGCTTCTGAATTTGGATAAAACTGAGGTTGTTGTACACACTGCAGGGTGTGTCCTGCTTTACTGTGTCAGTGTGAGTATGAACATGGATCGATGTGTAATGAAAATAGGTGATTGCACAAACTCCCTCTAGGCTTATGTACTTCAGCCTATGGTATTAAAAGAGTATGCACTTAGGTCCCAGGATATCTTGGACAGTGGGGACTATGTCCTTGACCTCTGGACCGAGTTCACATCTGCCTACCCTCCAGTGTGGCACAGACCTGAGAATGAACAACTTCTCCTCAGTTCACTTCACATCAGCCTCTCCTGCTCAGGCATTAACAAGCCCCCAGCCGCTCTGAGTGCACCCATGTGTTCCAGCGGGAGCGTGCAAGCGCACAACAGCCAGGTTGTTTGGCCTTTTGCCAAATGTAGCTCAAAGAGAGCAAATATTTAACAATTTCTCAGTCATTATGTTAAGTCCAAAGTGTCTGTCCTGTTTGTTACTTTTGTTTAAAAAAAGTAAATGTTTTCTAGTACATACATTAAGGGTAGAGATTATTCTTCTTTGTAAAGTTTAGACTTTTTTTAAACCGTGCCTAGTTCATCACGCTGCAAATGCTGCGTCATGTGAAACAACCTAAGTAGGCAATGACACCATGTAACTTCAGATCTCTACCATGCACACAATTGGGGATCACAGTAAAAAAAGTTACCATGGCGGCAACCTCGTAGTGCTGAATGTCTTCACAGTAATGCTATATCATTATTAAATTATATTCTGTTGTCGTCTCTGGCCAACAGGAGCGTCCACGCAGTGCAGTGGAGCAGCAGCTGTGTGCTGTGGAGAGCAGCCGACCCAGGATGAGCGTGGAGGAGCAGCTGGAGAGGATCCGTCGCCACCAGCAGGGTACCCTCAGGGAGAAGAAAAAAAGCCTCAGCATCAGGGGTAGCAGCCAGGAGAACACACCCTCTCGCAGCCACTCATTTACTAAAGAAAACCATTACCGCAACACGCAGGTACTGGCTGAGTGACTCAGACCCTATTTGACATTAGGGTAGCTCTGAAGTCAGAAGATGTTCATATGATATAATGTCTCTGCTTCTTTTATGTTTCATAATTTATTTCTTTTAGTTTCAAGTGAGACGCAGAGATGAGGTGATAAGCAGTGACATTCAGGAGCTGGAGGCCTCTCTCAGGCAGCAGGAGGTGGTGGGGGAGCAGGAGACGCCCGCTGAGGAGATAGCTCGTCTCAAAGAATCCTCCCAGGCTGATCACTTTAATGTCGACCGAGAGGTACGGCACAGCAGTTAGCCGTCGTTCCCATCAGCCTGCTGGTTTTTTTACAAGCCATTACTCAGAGGGCTAATACTGTCATGGGCAAATTATTATGAAGGTGCCGTTTACCAACAGAACATCATGTATTATCAATTCTATTGTTAATACTGCAGGAAAAAAAAGTTTCAACTGGAATGGAGAAGTTAACAACTTATAACTGTATAAGCGTTGTTCAGGCTAACTGAACATTACACAAAGGCCTCTGCGCCAAAATCTTTTCATGGGATGCTCATAAGCTACCAACATGATTTGCATGACTTGCTGCCTTGAGAAGAGTTCACGGCCTTGCTTTAGATTACATCGGTGAACTTCTTACAGTTGATCTCTGCGTAGTACAGAATGCCTCGGAGTAATTGACAGTGACACTCCATTTACTTCTAAACACCCAAAATGTGAAATAGTCTTCCTGCACAATAGATGCCGATCAGGGTAATAATGTTGTTTGCACAGAAGTGGAATTTTCTGTGTCAGTTTAGAAAACCATTCATTTGTACCAAATGTGCTAAATAAGTGTTTCTTGTCTGGTGGCTGTTCCACAGCTTTCTGTGCCTGACAAAGTGCTCATTCCTGAGCGTTACATTGAATCGGACCCTGAGGAGGCTCTGAGTCCTGAGCAGGAGGCTGATAAGCAGAGAAAAGTCGACCGCATCAAAGCCCTCATAGCCAAAAACAGGTAAGCACACTGTCATGATCCATCTAAATCAGTAATCGGTTATTAGCATGGACAGGTCTGCTCAAGCCTTGAATATTAGATAAGGATACTACGGTGAAAGAGCCAGCTTTGCAGGTGAGCAGATGTCGTGCATGAAATTCCTTCTAAAACTAAAAGGTAAGTTTAGGGTCATAGCATAGATGTCTCATGCGCTTAGCATGCAGATCCATGCCTCAAATGTGCAGAAAAGGTCTATTTGCTCATCTCTGAGCCACTGTGGCATTTTATTCTAAATGTCAGTGCCCTCATATTGATTTTTAAAAACTGGCCTGTTTGTTGGTAATTAGAAGTTGTCCGTCGCATGCTGTAGAGAAAACCTTGCTGTTTTGTGTTTGCTCCTAGCATGCAGAATGTGCTGCCTAGTCTGGCTCTGAGCCCTGAGGAGGAGACTGAAGAGGAGGTTACTGTACAGGAAAAGGAGAAGATGATTAATATCTCCTATGAGCTGGCAGCCGAGGCCTCCAAACGCAGCAAGCTGGTAGCAGGTACGTCTCTAGAGAGACGAGAGGGTGGAGGTGGGGTGGTTGGATCAAAGAAAACGCATGCAAAAAAACAAAAGCTGGTGGGAGCCTGTTCTTAGAAACAAACTGTAGCTGCTTTCATTGTGTATGTGTTAGGTAATTTACTTACTACTTACTCAGTAGCTTTTTTCAGTAATTTCACTCACTTTAGTGATTATTTCTGTTTTATTTAGCCATTCACTCATTATCAACTGTTCTAATTTGTTGTTTTGTCATTTCATGCGTGCGCCTGTGCTCACCATGTTGTCGTTTCGTTGCAGTGAAAAGCCTGTCGTCCTCTTCCCCACCCCATCCGCAGTCTCCCACCACCACACCCCCCCAGCTCACTGACGGTTCTCACTTCATGTGTGTGTAGTAGCATCAGTAAGGGCCTCCATCCACCCTTTTTTCACTCATACTCATAATGCTGAAGTGTTTTGATTGTTAAATTTGATTTCTGGGGTTTTAAAAAAGCATTTCAGGATAATTAGTTGGGTTCATTTCACGTAACAATGCGGGGAGTTTGTTCTCTATGTGTTGCGATATCACTAATACACGGTTGTACAGCAGAACTATGAGGGAATCTCACTATAATTTCACTTCTGTCCTTTTGTTCTGCTTCAGCCCAGGCTCTGGCCTCAGTGAAAACCTACACATGAAGGAAGCAGCTGGGGAGGCCTGAAGCGGCTCCTGAGGACTTTCCTAAAGAGTTCAGCACAAGGCCTTTGGCTACAGAGTGAAACTGCCTACTTCATACTCATGGGTCTCAACCTCTGACTTCTGTATTGCTCACTGTGACGTCTTAAGCTCCTCCCTCTTCGGGGGGCAACACTCTCCTCAACCTGGCAAGACAGCACATGGATTCATACCGTTTTACTGCTGCAGTTTCAGTTTTTACAAGGCTTTTATAATCATTTTTATTATTTATATGGTTTTATTAGGTTTTTGTGTTCGAATCTGGGCCAAAGTCTATCTGTATATACAGGAGGCTAATAGACTGAACTCTGTTCTGAGCCTGATAGCCTGTGGCAGAGTATGTTGGTCTGTTATACATTTTCATTCATGTTTCATCAACTGTTCGAAAAAGTTTCAGAAGCAAGTTTCACATTTTCTCTGCATTTAATTAAGCCTTTAATAATTCACTTAATTTTTTCCCCCCACACATTCGACATCAACTAACCAGGCATATTTATCCATTTATTGTAAAGAACATGTGTCTATGCTAAAGATGAGTAGATAAAAGATATAGATCCCTCCATTATTATATAAGGAGGAACCATTTTATTGCTGCAGACTAAGAGTATTTGTAATTTCTCATACTTCTGAGTTCTAATTATTTAAAGATGGGATTTGAAGTCCCTGGCACTTTGTTGCCAATGCATATGTGAATGTTCTGACTTGAGTCAATCTATACTGTCCTTTTTTTTAATTGCTGAGAGATATATTTAAACTGAGAGATGGAAAAAGAGATCTTGATTATATTTTATGACAAAAAATCGAGAACATTTATGACGTGTTGGTTTGGAGCCCTGGAACTAAAAGAAAACAGGATAAGGATGTGTAAAAAGCAATAGAAATAACCCCTTTCTGAATCTGAGATAATTTTTTGTGTGTACAAAGTGTAATTATCAGAGATTTACTGTGTATATAATGTACATGGTATATCTGGATGGGAGGATATGTTCAACATACAGTTACATACTAGATTTAATTTGCAAATGTTCATATCCCATCTGTTTTATATCATGTTAAATAAATGTTTCTGTTCCTAATGAGTGGTTGTGTTATGCTCTTTATCTCCCCTGTAGCTACATGCAGTAGAGATGCTGACCAAAAGGGAGTTTGACTCAAGCCTGCAACATAATCAAAGATTACATTCTCATCAACTGTTGACCGAAAGAATTTTACTTATTTAAATGAACTCCAGCTTAAATAGACCCCAAAACATAAAAATCGCATGCATGGAAAGTGTTAAATTGACTCCAAAATATAGATTTAAAAAGCGTTTCCCCCATGACGGTTACACTTTTACTATGAATTCACTTATAGGATTTTTTTGAATTGTTGAGTCCCTCATGCAAAATTGCATGCCTCTGGTTCAAATAGTAATCATAAACAATCAAATATGACATGATTTCATTTGATTTAACAAGCATGAATGACAGTTTAAATGAGGGGCTGTGGCTCCCTCTGGTGGTCATCTAGCTGTAGCAACATGGACCATATTTTTGCATTCACAACAGGTTTCTAACATTAATCATAGAATTCATAAATTATTAATAGGCCACTTTTGGGTGGCCATGTTGTAGAAATGCCCGTGCTTACCTTCCTGTTTGGCATTCTAGCAAAAAAAAAATGAAAGCTCTTTGGTGCATGATGGAAATGTTGTAAATCAACGCCGTTTACATGTGAATGCCTGGCTAATAAGAACTCAGATGCAAAAATATATATATTTAATATATATTATATTAGGCTACCTCAAGGATTCAATGTGCAGTTAAACGTCTTCACACTGATAGAAGCGGGAGTCTCACTGGTGCAGCCCACTTAAGATCAAAGTGCATGTGCTGTATGTGCCCGATGATGTAAAATGAGTTTGACATCCCTGGTCTAAAAGCTATTATCTACACCATGTCTAAAAAGATGTAACGTTATGCTGACAAACTGTTAAATCGATATATTTGAGGAAGACCTGGAAACCCCAAAGGTATTCTCATGAATCGGTTATAAAATCATTTCTAGCGCGAAAACTAGCTATCCAACTATGAGTACATTTATTTATTTATTCATTCATTAAACTTAATATTTCAAAGCTACTTATAAGCTTTAATACTAATACTCCAGTTTTTATTAAAAAGGAAAACCATGTGCTTTCGGAAACATGAGGAAACTTTAAATACTACGTCATAGTTTCGCCACCTCGTGCCGTCTCCGTCCAATCAGGGAGCGGACTGAATTTAGCCAGCCCTCCTTCTGCAGAGAAGCTTTTGACGGTGGCATGAGTAAATTTTAATACCGAAAGTATTCCCGGCTATGTCCGCCGCCGAAATGGCTTCTGCGGCTTCAGAAGAAGCACCCGCGCTAAGCGACGAGAAAGACGTACCGACGGCGGCCACAAACAACGGCAATGGCGAGGAGAAGGAAAATGGCCCTACCGAACCGGAAACGGAACAGCCAGACGGTAGCCTAGAGCCGAAAATGGAAGCGGTGGAGGCGGAGGTTGGCGAGGAGAAGCCCGCTGCAGATTCAGACAAGGCCGCGAGCGAGGTGGTGTCAGACGACGGTGTTTCTTTGGGCGACAAGGAGGTGACAAACGCTCCCGGAGAGCCAGAGCCAGTAACGGAATCACAGCAGAGCCCGGGAGACGGTCACAGCGAACCTACCGGCGATAGCGCGATAAAAGATGCTAAGGAGGAGACGGGAGAGGATAGCCGGAGTTCGGGGACAGACAGCGAGAAAAGCAAAACTGTCAGCGAAGATGGAGATAAAGCCAGCGCTGGTGGTGGGGAGATGGGTGACAAGAGGCGGGCGAGTGTGGAGATATCATCCTCGGATGGTGAACCCTTGAGCCGTATGGACTCAGAGGACAGGTTGGTCTGCGGAATAACTCTGGTAGTAGGTGCTGTTGTGGTACCCACCCACCCAAGTAGTGACTGAACGAGTGCAGGATGGCAATCCAGTCTTTGTTTTTTTTAAAGTTGTCTGTTTTTAGTGTTAAAGTTTAAATCTCACATTTAAAGGTAAGCACAGAGGGCCTTTAACCTCCAGCAGCTGGATGGGAAAAACAACTTTTCAGTGGCTTTTCAGACCAGTGTGAAGTGTGGGGATGTATCTAATAAAAGGTTGTTAATGCTGAACTAATCAAATTGTAGCCACTTGAAATTTTAAACCTTATTTGTTTTGCGAGAACACTGCTGACTGTGAGCCCTTTGATGGAAGCACAGCAAATTTGTAATACTATGCTAAGAAGCTATGTGTACCGCACTCATAAAGTTGATTTGGCATGAGTGTTTGTGGCATGCATGGAAAATCCCTTTCAGCCCGAAGGCTTTCAAGCATAGCAAGTATGTAATATCAGCACCTGTTCTTTATGGCTGTGCAAAGCCATCTTTGTTTTATAACTGTGACACTGAATTTCTCCTTGCCCTCTCCTCTTGCTCAGTATCAGCAGTACCTTGATGGAGATGGAGAGCCTAGTATCCAGCGGGCGCTCCACCCCTGCCATGATGAATGGACAGGGTAGTGCCAGCCGCTCTGGAAACAAGTCGATGGCTTACCAGTGTTGCTGGGACCTCTGTCCAGAGTGCTTCAACTCTAGTCCTGATCTGGCAGAGCACATCAGGGGGATTCATGTGGATGGGCAGAGAGGAGGGGTCAGTAGACTGAAAAGTTTTGTAGCCTAGTACACTAGTGCCCCTTTTTGCTCTAGCTCAACACTGACTGCGAAGAGAGCCAAATCACAGTAGAGCAATTTTCTGTAATTGGACGACTTTAATTAAAATTTATAGTTGGCCATTTTCACTTCATCGCTTCAACACCCTGGCAAATCTAAAATAAAGGTCATCTGAATCCTTTTGTTAAAGTGAACTGCATAATTCATTTTCTTACTAATTTCTAGTGACATCCAGTATGCCACTGCACACTCATAAAGCACCTTATGTGCCTATAATCTGATTAAAGTGAATGTTAAACTGCTTTTTCACCAAACACTGGATCCTTTTTTTGTAAGCAAAGTAAATTAAATTTTTGTTGCCACTTTTGTAACAAAATTACTTTTTTTCTATATCCCATAAATCAATTAATGTAACGTTCATGCAGTTTCACAAGTCATACTGACATCTTCCGTCTGTTGGCGGAATTTGAGAAAAGGTTATTGAAAGTTTTATATTTTGTAATTAGTTTTTACTTTTATTTCATTTTGACTTTAGTTTAGCTTAGTGTCAGTTGCTTTCCAGAGTGGATTTTCTTGTTTTAGTTTAGCTTTTACTGTTTGAAAATCTTTAGTTTTTATTAGTTTCGATGTTAGTTTTAGTCTTTGTAATTGTTTTTTATGTATGGAGGGCATATGTCAGAGGCAAGATTTAGGAAAACCAACAAAGGCGTTGCAATAGAAAAATCTAACTTATTTTAAAGCAGTTGACTCACACTGCAGACATCCAGAGTCTCAATAAACAGGTCCATCAGTCCCTCGTCAGGCAAGTTGTAATAACCTTTTTTATCAAACTAACAAATACTAATGATATTTTCTCTGTTTTCATATTACTTTTAGGCCATTTTCCAAGTTCCCAGTCATGTGTTTGTTTTAATTTGAAAGTGTAGTTTTAAACCCCAGCCTTAAAAGGCTGATGTTATTTTTTGTCTCGTTGAACTAAAATGTTTCTTACATCTAATTTTCGTTTAGTTTTAGTTAACTATAATGACGTTGGTCTTTAGATAACAGGGAAAGTTAGGTTTAGATCATTTCACACATGATCTTAAAAAGGCCTTTCTTCAGGAGTCTTTATCCTCTGTTATGAACTATTTTTTCTCTCTGTAATCTCTTTTTATTTTGTCATGCTTGCCTGTCTGTGTTCCTCAGGTTTTTGTGTGTCTGTGGAAGGGTTGCAAGGTGTATAACACGCCATCCACCAGTCAGAGCTGGCTCCAGAGACACATGCTGACCCACAGTGGGGATAAGCCCTTCAAGGTAAAACCATAAATAAACTAAGACTTAATGTCCCGCTCTTCTCTTCATTGTCTCATTATCCTTCATAGTATGGGTAATATCCTGACAGGGCCATGTGTTTTTCTTGTTTCTGCTTCTCTGCTGCAGTGTGTAGTTGGTGGCTGCAATGCCAGTTTTGCTTCTCAAGGTGGACTGGCTCGTCACGTACCCAGTCACTTCAATCAGCAGAACTCCTCGAGAATGTCTGGTCAGGCCAAACTCAAGGAGGACTCCCCTTCTAAGGCCGGACTCAACAAAAGGAAGAAGCTCAGGAACAAACGCAGGTGCTCCTTACGTACGTACCTTACAGGCGCACGCACCGATCTTATTCCAAAATGCTTCTCATTGTGCTTTTCTCTCCTTTCTGTGTCGAAAAGGATTACAACCTGAGCACATTTTTGAGGTCGCGCTGTGCTTGTTTTGCTTCTAAACTCCCACATGTCTTTGTTGGAAAAGTGAGAGCTGGACCACACACACAAACACCAACACAAACAGGAACTGCTGCCAGCTAGACAGACACACTTTCCACATGGCAAAGTGCTGCATTTCAGTAGGAAGTGTTTCATGTAAAAGTGTAGTTTCTCAATGCTTGGACGGGTACAGATCACTACCTCGCTGCAGGTTTTGCCTTAAATGGCCTGTTTATGCATTATGCAGGTATTATTTTTAATTTCTACACCTCTGTTTGTCTTAATTCTCTAAACAAGAGGTAGTTTAACAACACATGTACAACATTTTCAGTTTTGTAACCTTGGATACAGATGTGATTTGTGCAGTAGTAAACCACCCATCCACCAAGAAATATTGAGTCTTTAAGAGTCTTTGTCAGGAGTTTTGCATATTCCAGTCAATTTGTAAATTGTGTATGCTTGCCATTATTACCAACTATTAATATATAAAACATACTTTTCTTAAATGGCAACTAGATTGCAATAATATGGATTAAGAAAATCCAAATCTGAACTGATACATTTGACCTGTATTCTAATGCAGTCGAAGGTAATATTCTGCCGTTCACACTTTCTGCTGATAGTCACCTACGCATACGTTCGCTGGTCGTGAGTCATAGGTGGCAGTGGTTTCTAAGCGTTTATGGTTTAGCTGAGGGAAAAAAAATACAGTTACAAAATCCAAAGTTGTGTAATAGTTAATAATTGCCATATTTTCCTTGTTTGGTTGTCAAATCAAGTAAAGGTATGAAAATTTCCTTTCTCCTAAATGTATACTTCTGGTGATTTTTTTCATAATAATGTTTTTCCTTTCAAAGACTGCAGAGCGCTGTGTAAGTATTTTAGAAAACACGATGATGACAACTTCAGATGTTAAGAGGTCAGAGTTTTCTTTCTACTGAATTGTGTCACAGTTATTCAGAGAAACTAAAACAGTCATCTATTGTGTGAGTGCTGTAAAGTGTTCACACTGCATTTTCGCAGGAAATGCAAATTTTTCCAGTTTCATGCAGCTTTCAATTGAGAGCTGTCATAACTTGTATGGGAGCTGTTGTTACAAAAGATTAGTATTTTTCAGCTGTGAGATGATTCGGGGGCCCAAAATTGGACAAATGGTTTTATATAAACGTGTGTGTACATGTTTGGGACTTTGACTTTACTCCTGTTTTCTGCCTCCCCCCACCCCCCACCCTCCAGCGAGACCCCATGACTTCTTTGATGCTCAGACCATGGATGCCATTCGGCACAGAGCCATCTGCCTCAACCTCGCCACCCACATTGAAAGTGTGGGCAATGGCCACAGTGTTGTCTTTCACAGTACGGTATGTGCTTGACTGAATGTCTTGTAGTTTTTCTAGTGTCTTTTTCCATTTTAATGGGTTTACACACAACGGGGGAGGGGGCGGTTCAGAGAGAGAGCAGGCTTTCTCCTTTTTTATGCTTTCCTCTTCTTCATGTCCAGCTTTAATTGGCCTCTTGCTGTGTTTGTTAAAGACTGGAAGAGTAGAGAGATTAAATCAAACACGCAGAAAGGGAAATACATGTAAAATATTAAGTTTGTTTTAAAGTTAGACCAGAAACAATTTTGGCTCCCTCTGGTCATATCTCAAACACTCTTTAATTTACAGTTAAACTGATTTCCTCAAAATATCCTGATGTCTTAAAAATGTTAGTGCTAAGACTATTAACCAGAATTCATTCACCAGATTGAAACACACTTTTTGGGCACACTGCAGGCCGCATTATTTGGAAAATAAAGCCATTAAAAATGGTTTAAAAATCACTAACAGCACAAAAATGGTAATGGCAAACAAAGCCAATAAGAATAGCTTTTTTGATTTCAGATGCAAATTTGTATGTCTGACGTTTGCTCATCAGCTATTTGTATGAAAAAGCCTGGTGGCTGTCATGGTCATATGTGAGATGGTTTAGAGGTCCAGTTCACAGCTTTGAATTGGCAGAATTAAGGCCTTTGTCCATACGCCTGGCAGTCAAAGCAGAGACGGACTTCATTTTCAGACCTATCAGTATAACTCTCGGATGATACATTAAAAATAAAATAAAAGTCACTCAGTTGTTGTGAAGGGAGAAACGACACATGGAGAACAAAGTAAATGTGCTTTTTCACGTTTTTTAGCTGTGCGTTTGAACATAGTTTTGCTTTGGGGATTGACTTGCATTTGGCAGTTAGAGGTACTGCAGTTTTTGGCCTTTCAGAGTTAATTTTTTGTGTCTTGGAAGTTGCTACTTTAGATCAGTGTTGGTCAAGTTACTTCCCCAAAAATGTAATTACTTTACTGATTACTTATTTTCAAAAGTATATATTACTTAGTTACCTTTTAAAAACACGATTTACAACCTGAAGAGGTGATAAAGCGATAGATCTTTCAGCCCAATTCTACTTTTTCTACATAATCCATCATACAAAATGTAATCAAATGGAAAAGTCTCTTTTTAAAACTTGTTTTATTAGTTTTAATCTTTTAACTTTATGCATCAAGCAAAAATTTAATTATATGCAACATTCTCTGACTGGAAGAAATTTGTTTAACATTTAAACCTATTTTCTGCACATTCCAGCACATAAAATATTTTTTGTGTTTACACTCACTCTTTTTTTTTTTTTTTTTTTTTTTTTTTTTTTTTTTTTTTTTTTTGGCCTGTCCCGTTTGGCTCTTTTGCCATCAGAATTGTTGTCTAAAGGCAAAGAAAGATGCCCAACGGATTTACTTTACCAAACTGACCATCCCAGCCTTGCCGTAATGGTCCATTTGATTCACCTTTTATTGTTTATTTTATTTTCACTTACTGAATACGGGACAGACTTGAACTCACTCTTTCAAATAGATGCAAGTAAAACACAGCAGAAAATAAATAAAGTCAAAGACTAGCGGTCCTGTTGCTCTATTTTCACCTGTAAAGCAGGAGTGGGGTAGGCGGAGGTTTACCCTGGTGCAGGTGTGCCGCGGTCAGTTGAAGAATCCACGAGTTTCTCTGTGAATTTCCCATTACGTCGTAGCGCACTCGGTGCTTGCTTGGAAGTTTTTTTTCGCTGTAAAAAGAAGTTTTCTTCCCACGCACAACGGACACTAATGTTTTTGTCACTTTTTATGGAATCAAACTCAAAGTAAGGTCAGTACTTCCACGCTTTAAACGCTGCACGCTCATACTCTCTCCCGCACTTGATATATGATCCACTGTTGATCTGCACACAGCTGTTGTCACAAACGTCGCACTCGCTTACGTCACTGTCATGAGACATTCTCGCAAAAAAAATCACGGTTTTAGTAACGCAGCGTTCCTACGGGAAAGTAACGGTAATCTAATTACCGTTTTTGCAATAGTAATCCCTTACTTTACTCGTTACTTGAAAAAAGTAATGGGATTACAGTAACGTGTTATAAGTTATACACCCTTACTAGTTGGTCTCCGGGTTCTCGCTACTTGTGTATGTTAAAAGTCTATTTCTTATATAATTGGAACAGGACTTGATTTCTCTTGGCTCAAAATAGGCCCTTTGTGAATGAGTGCAAATGTACAGCTGATCAATGTACAGTGAAGGCATTGAGTTGGTTACATAATTTGATAGAAATTTGAGCTTTTTGCTGCCATTTCTAATGATTTGATAAACCAAAAAATCTTTTACTCTATAATGCAGTAAATAAGAAAACAAGGTTGGAAAGCTTGTGTGTCAGAGCACCAAGATCAAATAAGATAAAGAATATTTTCAGGAAACACACCTGAACTTTCCCAAAGTCATTTATCCGAAAGAACACATAAGAAATTAATAACATTTTCAACGATGGTTTAGACCTTCATCATCATAATGAGCAATAAAATTTGAAGCCGACTTTGTCTTCAGCGTCATCTAAATCTTTCGTCTTCCCTTCAGGGACACCAATAAAGCTGCTCGTTTGTAAATTTATGGCACTGTAATGTTACTTTTTGTACAGCCCACATTTTTATTTATATTTATATTTATATTTATATATATATATATATATATATATATATATATATATATATATATATATATATATATATATATATATATATATATATATATATAATCTTATGTATATGGTGTATAGGTTTTATTTGAACCTAAAGGTATATATATAATAATATATATATATATATATAAATATATATATATATATATAAATAATATGTACAAGAGAATGAAAGAGTCATCAATTGAAATCCTCCAAGGATTGCAGATTTTTTTTCCCTCTTTGCACTTGAATTGAACCTGTAGCAACAGCCCAAGGCCTGATGTTGTTTTTCTCTAAATCGGGCTTCACAGGAAAGACAATTGGTGTGTTTTATGTGTGCAGCTTTCCCCATTTTGAGCCTTGTGCAGAATACATTATTAATGTGTGGTAAAGTGCCCTTTTCACCTTAAACTGGAGCCACATGTGAGCTCTCATAGGAAGAAAAATCTTTTTTTCTGACAAAAATTCCTTAGATAAATGGATTTTCTGTTAAGAAAACTTAACTGTAGCTGCTATTCTAATGCATTTCCACAAGGGAGCACTCTGACTCCAGTTCAGATTGAGTGATGTGGTGTTCTTCAAAAAGATTGAGGGGGGGAGTAAGGATCATCTGCTGCCTAATCCTCTTTTGTTCACATGGTGTACATGAAACACACACAGTCCCACTCCTTTCTCGGCACAGTCTCTCTTTACATTTGTAAAGCAGCAGTTTTCCTGCCAGTGTCAGTAATTCTGTTTACACTTGTTATCTCCAGGCAGAAATCTATTCTATTTTACCTGCCTGTACCACTCTAGCTATGAAATATTTCCATTTGACATTTTCCCAAAAAGATATAACAATTCTTAAAAGCGTTGTTGTAGAGCATCACCACTGGCTGATCAGAAACGGGAAACAAAATGTCTCCCCTTTGGCCTCTAAATAAAACCAGCCTTTCTGAAAAGGGTTTTAACCACCATGAAAAACACACAGGAGTAAAAGGGTCGTTTAAAAACAGAGCCCGGTTCTGTTAAAATGTTTGTTTCGGTATTAAAAAGGGTATTTTGTACAACACATTTGCAGTTGTCTCAGTGATGACAACAATGATTCATCCAGTGTAATTTTTTGTGATGTTGGTAAATGAGCACACAATAAATCACAAATATGTAAGCGGTACAGTTCAAAGGAAAAACAAACAAATCTGGCCAGTTGGGTGCACATTAGTGTGTACACCCCTAAACTACTACTTTCTTGATGTACCTTTTGATTACTGACAGGGGTGTTTACACTTTTTGTATTCACTGTACCTCTTTAATGCTTGCATGTCAGCTATAGCAACACCCAGCCCTTCATTATTTGTTAGATTTTTTGGTTTGTTTCTTTTTCTGTTTTTTTTTTTTTTTTAAGTAAATAATTGATGCATAAAGTGGGTGCAGCTGAGGAGTATTTTTACAGGACTCCTGTTCAGCTCTTTTCTCCTTTGCATTGCCTCTATAAACCTCAACCGGTCAGCTGCAGCAGCCAAGAATTTAAAGACAGGGAGGGAACATTTGAAGATAAAGCTTGGGAAGAGGTTAAGAGAGGTAACTATTTGGACACAGAGTCAGAAGGAGGAAGAACCAGTCAAGGGAGGGAGAGTAACAAATGGAGAGAAACAGGCTTGGAGAGTGAGGACAGGGAACAGGGGTTAAGTGAAGGTTAGGGTCATGGAATCGGAAGGAGATCTTGCCAGTTGGGCATAGATTTTCTTTCTCTGTAATCCCTGAAGGATTGTGGTGACGGGCTGCGATGCTGAGTTAGACCCCTGGCCCCAGTGACCCTCCCAGGCCTGGGGAGATGGAGCAAAGCCGTGGGGGGTTCTGTGGAGCTTGGCCAATGGGTCTGCTGACCTGTTGGAGCAACTCAGTCATGTTTATGATGGGATATTTTTGTTATTGCACCAATCTGCGTCATCCACAGCTTGACCCCATGACACTAGACAGGCACCCAGTTTTAGCAGGCCTGTCCTCCCCCAGCTGGATTCCTGCAGTTTTCACTGCTTTGTTTTGGAGCCACATTAATATCTGCTGTTCACTCCCTAAGTCCTCCTGCTCTCTCTCCCTCCCATTCTTTTACTTCCCCCTCTCTTACCGTCCTCCCCTGGGTTTATAGAGGATTAAGATCTGTCCCTTAAAGCACAGACCATCATCATCAGACCACTCAGCTCACAAATCACTTCATGCTGCTTAAACACAAGCCCACTTCTTTACATACATGTTCATGGCCCTTTCAAGTGTAGGCTTGGCTTGTGATTATTAACCTGGTGCTACAAGGTGTCTGAGGGCATAAGTTAGCAGCTATGCATTTTTAAATAAAAAAGCAGTAAAGCAGCTGGTTAGTGCACTGAGTCTTACCCGCGGGGCTTAAGACACTCAAGTAGGGCTCACTCCAGCTAGCACAGGAGTTTGACTCTCGTATACAAGCCCTGCTGTTGTCTCTGAGAAACTGTTCCTCTCCATGTGAACTGACGAAGCTGGAGAGCTAGTAGATAAAGGAAGAGGGAGATAAGCAAGAACAAATGAGATACAGTGCTTATTTATGAGATGTGACTAATAGTCTGAAAAGTTGGAAAGGAGTTTTTACATCTTCTGAGGACTAAGTTAGAAAGTTGGAAGAGGCACATCTGAGAGCATTTTAAGTAGAATCCAGTTAGCAAAGAGGTGCAAGTCTGTTTTGATTGTCTGTTTTTGCTTAAGTGAGATATAATATCGGTAGGGAAATGTACTGTATCACTTTCTCCTATAATATATAAACAGGTGCTCCAGACTTTTTCCTCTAATTTGAATTGTCAGAAACTGCTAACTACGTGGGGTCATTGGGGTGGCTGGAGCCTGTCCCAGCTGTCACATTCTGAACCGGTCAGCAGTCCAACAGAGACAAAACGCAGAGCGACAGATAACCACATGCTCTCACAGCCACACCTGCGGTTAATTTTAGATCGGGACTTAACCTTTCATGCAAGTTTTTGGGAGGAGGGACCCCCGCTGGTACAGGGAAGACTAGCAAACTCCAAAACCAGTGCTTTGTGAATAATAATGAATATTTGAAAGTGACTTAAACTGGCAGTTATCTCACGGCTGTTTGCAGCTGTGACATTTGCAGACTTCCTGATTTATATCACTGTATGTCACATTTCAGTGTATCACACTGTATCACTGTGATACCATTTAGAACTGCCTGTTATCACGGGCAGTGTATCGAGATACGATCAGATGGTAAGTAACTCTTTTAATTCCCCAAGCTATTAATCAATCACCCTGTTTTAGGTGCTTTGATATCCCTCCTTGTGTTTGTCAAGACTTGTGTGTCTGCACACTGTATTGCAGACAAAGGGAACATGGTTGATCTGCCAACTTGGCTGCTGTTTGCAAAGCGTCTAGCAGACAAATGTTAAGGCACAAGTCCAGAAACAACAAAATTAATCTCACCTAACCTAGCCTAAATAGTCCTTGTTTCATTTTTTTTGTTTTGCTTATTTTAAAGTTAATCAGTTTATTACAGGTCATGTTTGTGTCCTCCTTGCTTTCCTCAAAACGTTTGCCAAACATCACAAAGGTGGAGGAAGATGAAAATACATAATTTGTCAGATTATCCATCAATTAGCTGTATCTGTTTATCATTGAGGTTAGTGGGATCTCAGATAAATAAAACAGATTGAAGCTACTTAAAACACAAAAATCGTGCGTTTTGTGAAATGCAGGAGCCGTTGTAAGAGGAGGAGAGCGAATCTTGCCTCTGTCTCTGTGTCTTGTCTCAGTGGAGCCTGCTCCTTCCTGTCCTCAAACCAGTTTCCATCAATGCCAGAGCTAGTCCCTGGAGTCACAAAAATAATCTCAAAAATTCATGTGCGTAAGAGAAGTTCTTCACATGTGAGCTCATTCACAATCCTAAAAACAGACCCCCTCAAAAAAAGGGCAATTGACGCAAGAGGTTATATCTGTGGCTATTTTTGCCTCTCCTGGTTATTTTTCTTGCTTTTCTTTTCCCTACTGACAATATTTGTGAATTCCACACCAGTTTTACTATAAACCAACACAGCATGAAAGATGAAATGCTATGCATGAAAAGGGCTAGATAGGCAGGAAGTCTTGTATAGTCTCAACTGTATTTTCAAAGAAGAAAAGCCTTGAAGTTTGTAGCTGCAGTGGCTGTGCAAAAGGTTTGTATTGAAACCAGAAACCAAAGCAAAAATGAACACAGGTTTGTGATGCAAACATTCCTCTGTAGGAGTTGGTCTCCGCTAAACGCATTCCTGCCTAACGTGTTGAAGCTTTCGGTTGTGACATAACCCGCAACAGGAGCAGTGACTTTGTGACGATGGAAATGTCTCATGCGCTTTATCTTCTGTCTGAATTAGTTTCTTGGTCTTGCAGTGTGTTGCGGGGCATAGATCACCCTGAAAATAGAAATCTCACTGAACTCTCACATGCATTATTAAGACCGGCTGATGATTACACTAACAAGCAAAATGAGCACTGAATCACTTGGTAGGATGTTTGAATCATGTAACCGTATTATTCATTTGAGAGGTGAGGCCAGAAATAAGATGCATCTTTGAAGCCTTTTCTCCACAGATGCGAGAGAATGCTGCAATACAGACTAAACCTGATACGTCTGTGCTCATGTAAAGCAGCAAAAGGGGCTTGAAATGTAAAGGTTAACAGCCATTTGGGTTAAATTATATGCCTGTGTAAATACTTTGTTCTGAATCTTCCTTGCTAAAGCCAGCTTAATGTTTTGTTTTGTTCCTCCCATGATTGTCTGTGTAGGTGCTAGCCAAAAGGAAAGAGGGGTCTGGCAAGGTCAAGGTTCTTCTGCATTGGACACCTGAGGACATGTGAGTAAAACTTTTCCTACATGTTATTATAGATCTGCATGAGCATTTGCCTTAGAGCTGGGCGATAGAACGATAACGATATGTATCGCGATATAACTTTTACTCGATAGAGAAATTAA